GCCCGATGCGGGACTCGATCCCGGGACTCCAGGATCATGACCTGAGCCGAAGGCAGTCGCTTAACCAACTGAGCCACCCAGGCGCCCCGGATATTCACTATTCTTATAATTTAGTTTTGTTCAGGAAATATTTGTGAATCTAATAAGATAGAAGAAAGATACGTATTATAGTGGAGAATTCAAAATTATTTGTGGTATTTTATATAGTGGAAGCTAAAGCAAAGCAGTCCAAAAAACTGAGAAATTACAAGAGGATTTGGTAAGTTGTCTGGTTCTAACCTTAATATACAAGAATTGGTAGCTTTTTCATATGCAGACAAAAGGCAGTTTGCAAATTAATTGGAAGGAAACGGCCCATTCATAATAGCAACCAAAAAGATAAAATACCTAAGCATAAGAAATATTCAAGATCTGGGGGTGCCTGGGTGGTTCAGTCAGTAAAGCCTCTGTCTCTTGATTTCTGCTCAGGTCATGATCTCAGAGTCCTGAGATCATGCCCTGTCTAGGGCTCTGCTTTCAGTGGGGAGTCTGCTTCTCTCCTTCTCCCTCTGCCGCTCCCCCTGCTGGTGCTGCATGCTCTCTCTCTCTCAAATCTTAAAAAAAATAAAAATATTCAAGGTCTGTATGAAAAAATTTTTAAATGCTACTGAGGTTTGTAAAAAGACAAGTAAATAGGAAGACATCATATTCCTGTAAAGTATGGTTTAATTTTGGAAAAGTGAGAGGTCTTTACATTTATCTGTGAAGTCACTTTCTCTGTAAGATACCAACAAGATTTTGGGGAAGAATATGACAGAGGTACACTAGAGTTTACCAGGAAAAGCGTAATAGCCAGGAAAACCACTGATCCTCAGAAGAGTATGGGGAAGCCCTATGAGATGGTGACACGCGTCATACCGCCGTAGCAGGTCAGAGCAGGTTGGCACTTGAGAAGCGCTGGGCTGCTGGCGGAGCAGAGCCCGTGTAGACATACATGCACACGGCCACGGGCATTTGGATGATGCTCACCGGTCACTTTCATAGGCAAGCTTTTCTCTTTGCCTCCTTATGCTGAAATTCCAGAGAGATTACAGTATGGCTGGTAAATGAAACTATGAAGGTTGTAGAGGGAAGCATGGATTACTCGTTCATACTTTTAGAGTAATGAGGGCCTTCTGAGGACATTATAAAGCCTAGAAGCCAAGATCATAGATTTACTATCCAAATTAAGAACTTCAGTATCACAAAAATGATAAAGTAGGGAAAGTATTTCCCACAGTTTGATTAAAAGAACGAGGAATGATTTTCTTCATATATGAAAAAATTTTACAAATCAGAAAAGGTTTTTCTGCCTATTAGAAATATGGGTAACATGAAAATTTATAGTAAAAGAAATTCAAATGGTCAAAAATGAAAAAACTGTAGTTTTTTTTTTTTTTAAGATTTTATTTATTTATTTGAGAGAGAGAATGAGATAGAGAGAGCATGAGAGGGGGGAGGGTCAGAGGGAGAAGCAGACTCCCTGCCGAGCAGGGAGCCTGATGTGGGACTCGATCCCGGGACTCCAGGATCATGACCTGAGCCGAAGGCAGTCGCTTAACCAACTGAGCCACCCAGGCGTCCCTGTAGTTTATTTTTTTAAGCAGGCCCCTCCACTGAGCAGGGAGCCTGACATGGGGCTCGATCCCAGGACACTGGGATATGACCTGAGCTGAAGGCAGACGCTTATTAACCAACTGAGCCACCCAGGTGCCCCAAAATGCTGTAGTTTAATCAAATATTTTAAATGACAGAATGCAGTTTTTTACCCATGAGATGGTGCAGGAAGTGATGGGGGACCTGGGTACTGGCATACACGTAATGGAAGTATAAATCCCCATTAGTTTTCTGGGGGCAGTTTGGAGTAGCTACCAAATTAAAATGTATTACTCTTTGAGCCAGCAATGCCATTCTGAAGATTTATCCTACAGATAAACTTGCCAGAGTTCACCCCAGCAAGGTGTAGGTACAAGGTTGCCCAATGCAGAATTCTTTGAGAAAAAAAGGAAAAAGCTAAACCTAAACAAAAAACAGGGACTAAAATAAGAGATAGAATAAATTACATATAATATGTCCAATTGTTAGAATACTATACAATCATACAAAATATGGGGGTATCTCCATGCTGTTATTAGAAGGTTCCAGAATGCATTGTGAGTGTCACTGGTGGCAGGCTGACTGGTAAAGAGGCTTTCCCACAGTCAGGCTAGACACAGAGAGCCCTGAGCTAGGGCAGTGAGCTTGGAGAGGGGAGATGTCTGTATATTTAATTGATTTAGAATTTTGTTTTCGCTTAAAAAAAAAAATCTTTTTTAAATGTTTATTTTTAACGTGTCAGTTTTTTTCCTAAGAAAGTAATACGCTTCTTTTGTGAATTTTTATTGAAATGACTCATTCGTTGTTTTATTGGATCTACAAGCAGCCCAACTCCAAGGAATCTGGCATCTCTGAGTCGAGCATCCAGGTGATTTCATATAACTATTCTAATACCTGCCAAGGTTAGAAATACTTCGTGTCTCTGAGCCAGGCCTTACTTTGATGATTTACATTGCAGAGGAACACATTTTCGGAACGCCGGGTAACAGTTTTTCCTGCCCCTTTAAACCGATTCATGATGGTGCTGAGCAGATTTCAGCTGTAAGTCCCGCTGCTTCCAGCGCTCTGCCAAAGGGGAGAGCATGTTCTTCATGAACAGAGCGATGCCCAGAGGTGGTGTGGCTCCCCTGCCTGTGGGGGCTGGCAGTGAAAGAAAACACCCCTGGCACATTCGGGTTCTGTCGGTACAACCAGGCAGCTTAGTGGCGAGGAAAGTTTCCTGACCCCTTTCAGGACCTTCCTTCCCGCAGAGTTCGGGCCTGCAGTGGTTTCCAAGTTTATCTTTTCTAATAGAAACATGGAGGAAGCCGGCTGGAACTCCCAACAAAACAGACTTCGGACCAGAGTGTTCAATGTTGATTTTCCTAGTGTAGTCTGTCTTGTGGGAAGAGGACCCGCAGACCCTGGTGTGACATACTTAAGGAAAATAGCTTGTTTGCATTTGCTTCACATGAGAAAGGAAAAGAATAGTATGCAGTACATCAGAGTGTCTTGGGATCCTCCTGAGGGTCTCTCATAACGCCGGTCCAAGCTTGGTTCCCCATCCTCCTCTGCCACCCACCCATCTTCCCCCCACGTTCTGCTCGAGCGGAACGTATTCGAATAATTCCTCGAGAATGCGATCCTGCTGCTCTGACACAGGACCTACACCGCAGCCTATGCCGCCGCCCTTAGCGGAATGTGCTTCACCCTGTTTGCCCACGGGTCCTATCCTGCCCTGTCGTTGTCTCCAGACAGCTAGCTAATGACCCCTTTCTCTGCGGGGCCTTTATACACCTTGCGCGCATTTCCGTGCGTGCATTTATCACTCTGTAGTCCAGTTGTTTGCATGTCTTATCCCCCCTGAAGCCAGGGTTCCCGTTTATCTCTAATCTCTGACTTGTAGGGCAGTGCCTTTGAATAAGTGGGTTGAATTTAATTTTCTTAGTTTGCTAATAGGCCAGTGTAAAAGCAGGCAAAGAGGAAGAAATCCCCAACAAAAGTAAATGAAGGTCTTCTTGACAGTGTTATCCTATAAGTCTGAATGAAACAAAAAACATTTTTTTAAAGATTTTATTTATGTGGGGGAGAGAGAGAGAGGGAGGAGCAGACTCCGCACTGAGCAGGGAGCCTGACAAGGGGCTCCATCCCAGGACCCTGAGATCATGACCTGAGCTGAAGGCAGACTAACCGATTGAGCCACCCAGGCACCCCAATACTCTTATTTTTGATATCTGTATGACATCCCATCAGGTGGATACATCTTCATTTATTCAGTGGGCCCTTTACTGTTGAGCACTTAATTTTTATTCAGTACTTCTCAAGAGCATTGTTGCGACTGTTGTAGTTCAGTCTTTGTGTACATCTTGTATGAATAACTTTTTCCCTAGGCTGTACTCCCAAAAGGGAAAATTATTGTTGCAGATGTGTGTTCCATATTTGATGTTACATATCTATGGCTCCTGTAGATATAAGCTCCCCAGGAGTTGATTCTTTCTGATTCTTTTCTGTGCTTCAGCTCTGCACTGTACTTTATAGTGATTACATTTTAACATCTTTTGTCCTGAATGCTCAGCAGTTCATACACCTATTAAGCAATAACTCCCTGTTCCTCTTTCCCCAAGCCCCTGGCAACTACCGTTCTACTTTCTGTCTCTGATTTTGACTACTTTATATACTTTATGTAAGTGAAATCATACAGTATTTGTCCTTTTTGATTGGCTTCTTTTACTTAATGTCCTCGGGGTTCACCCACGTCCTAGCACGTGACAGAATTTCCTTCCTTTTTAAGGCCACATAGTATTCCATTGTATGTATCCATACCACGTCTTGTTTAACCATTCATCTGTCAGTGGACATTTGTGTCGCTTCCACCTCTTGGCTATTGTGAAAAGCACTGCTGTGGATGTGCACGTGCCTTTTGAGACCCTGCTTTCAATTCTTAACAGATACATACCTAGAAGTGGGACCGCTGAATCACATGTTTGTTCTATCATAAGTTTTTGTAGAATTGCCATTCTGTGTTTAGTGGCTGCAGCATTGTGCATTCTCACCAACAGTGAGCAGGGATTCTCCTCCACATCTCCACCAACACTTGTTATTTTCTGTTTTTGTTTTGTTTTTTTTTTTAAATAGTAACTATCCTAATGGGTGAGATGATCTCATTGTGGTTTTGATTTGTATTTCTCTTTTGATTGAAGTTGAGCATCTTTTCATATGCTTGTTGGCATCTGAGTGTGTTTTACAGTTTTTTTGGTGTTTTTTGTTTTTGTTTATTTTTATATTTTATTTATTTTATTTTTTTATTTATTCATGACAAAGAGAGAGGCAGAGGGAGAAGCAGACTCCCAAGGAGAAGGGAGCCCGATGTGGGGCTCGATCCCAGGACCCTGGGATCATGACCTGAGCTGAAGGCAGACGCTTAACCATCTGAGCCACCCAGGCGCACCCTGTTTTTGTTGTTTTTTAGATTTCATTTATTTGAGAGAGAGAGAGAGAGGGAGAGAAAGCAAGAAGCGGGGGAGGGGGTGGAGGAGGGAGGGAGAAGCAGACTCCCCACTGAGCAGGGAGCCTGACGATGCGGGGCTTGACCCCAGGACCCCAGGATCATGACCTTTGTGACCTGAGCTGAAGGCAGCCACTTAACCAACTGAGCCACCCAGGCACTCCTGTTTTACAGTTTTGTAGGTTTCTTTCATGTCTGGCATAAAAGATAAGTAGAGTCCCATATCTTCCTGTATATCTCCTTTGGAGAAATGGCTGTTCAAGTCCTTTGCTCGTTTTTAATCGGGTTATTTAATTTTTTGTTGAGTGGTCTCATGAATGTGGTGTTGTGCTATTGAGGAATTAAAATCAACTTAAAAATATTTAGCCTGTTGGGGCACCTAACCAGCTTAGTTGGTGGAACGTGTGACTCTTGATCTTGGGGTAGTGAGTTTGAGTGCCATGTTGGGTATAGAGATCCCTTAAAAAAAATATTTAGCCTGTTATATTTAAGATACAAATGTAGTCCCCCAATAAAGGTTATTTCTGGGCTGTAGGATTGTCCTGGATGATCCAACTATTTGGATCCTTTGGAGAAAACCAGACTTAGTTGCCTGGCAAGGGGTAGCCTTTGTCATTTTAAGGATGCAGGTATGTTCTAGGGGAGGACTTTACCTTAGTGTTACTCAGTGGGCTAAGCCTGTATATTTAGGCTTCAAATCTTTAGCAGTCTGATGCAGCCACTTTGTCAAGGGCAGCCTCCCAAAGTCACTGCCATGCTTCGGTATGACCATGGGAACATGCGCCCTGCAGCCAGACAGACTTACGATGCCAGCCCCACCAGTTATTTTCTGTACCTCAGACAAAGGAGAGAGTGTTGTTTTTTTCATTGGTAAAACTGGGAAAACCGCGTTTATTTGATGGAGTTTTGAGAGTTAAATATGTGAAAATACAGTGTATAATACATACCTGCAGGCCTCCCTTGACCCTGTTCTTCCAGTCTCTACCTCCCAAAGTACATGCTCAGTGTCCCTTATCCATAGCACATATTTGTCATACAAGGTATTCACACTGAGGTGTTTTTGTTTACCTTGGCAATTTCCTGTTAAAATGTGAGTTCCTTGCCTTTTTTTTTTTTTAAGATTTTTATTTGAGAGAGCACGAGCTGGGGTGAGGGGCAGAGGGAAAGGGAGAAGCCAGACTCCCTGCTGAGCAGGAAGCCCAATGTTAGGCTTGATCCCAGGATGCCAGGATCATGACCTGAGCTGAAGGCAGATGCTTAACTGACTGAGTCACCCAGATGCCCCATGAGTTCCTTGCTCTTGAATCTCTAGCACTTGGCAGAGGGCCTAGTCCAGAGTAGACACTAAGTGTTAGTGAACAGAATGAATGAATGCATGTTTTGCTCTTTTATTTCTCAAGGGAGGACTTTGAATCTTTTTTGGAAGGATAATGGTATATACCATTATGTAGTATAGTACGTATGAACTAGTCCAGTAGTTCTCAAATATTTTGGTCTCAGGACCCTTTTACACCTAAAAATTACTGTGGACCCTAAAGAGCCTTTATGTGAATTAGTATTTCTGGTCTTAGAAATCAAAATTTAAAAATATTAAGTAACTATATTTATACATTTATTTTAAAGATAAATTGCATGGGAGAGGGGAGAAGGAGAGGGACAAGCAGATTCCACCCTGAACGCAGAGCTAGATGCAGGGACTGATTCCACGACCTTGAGATTGTGACACGAGCCGAAATCAAGAGTCAGACACTCAACCCGCTCAACTGACTGAGCCACCAGGCGCCCCTCACTTGCTTTAAAATAACACGTTAACGTAGATAACACATTTTCATGAAAAGTAACTATTTTCCAAAAAATTACTGAGGAGAGCTTGTTTTCCAGTTTTGCAGGTCTTTGTAATGTCTGGCATAAAAGATCTGCGTCTGCATTGTGTCTGTGGTGAGAAGTTCTGGTTAAAGTAGATGCAGAAAATCCAGCTTCACACAGGTACGTGGCTGGAAAAGGAAGGACCTCCTGGACCCCTGCAAGGGTCTTGGGGACCTCAAGGGGCCCTCTGATAATACTGTAACAACTACTGATGTAGTCTAACGGGGAAAATGTAATAGTGTCCAGAAATTAAAGGGTTAAGGAAATAAGGAAAAATTCCACGTGTTTAGCCCTGTATATAATGGCTTAGCTACTACTGTCGTTTTGTTATTTGTAGGTTAAAAGTATCCTTCATGAAGAAGAAAGATCTTAAGCAACATGGTGGATTCAGAAGCTCATGAAAAGAGGCCGCCCATCCTGACCTCTTCAAAACAAGATCTGTCACCTCATATCGCGAATGTTAGTGAAATGAAGCATTACTTGTGCGGCTGCTGTGCGGCTTTCAACAACGTAGCAATCACATTTCCCATTCAGAAGGTGCTCTTTCGGCAGCAGCTGTATGGACTCAAAACCCGGGATGCGGTGCTTCAGTTGCGGAGGGATGGCTTTCGAAACTTGTACCGCGGGATCCTTCCCCCACTGATGCAGAAGACAACTACGTTGGCGCTTATGTTTGGGCTGTACGAGGACTTATCTTGCCTTCTCCGAAAGCACATCAGTACCCCTGAGTTTGCGACCCGCAGTGTGGCCGCAGTCCTTGCAGGGACAACAGAAGCAATTTTCACTCCATTGGAAAGAGTTCAGACATTGCTTCAAGACCACAAGCATCATGACAAATTTACAAACACTTACCATGCTTTCAAGGCACTCAGATGCCACGGAATTAGAGAGTATTATCGAGGCTTGGTACCTGTTCTTTTCCGTAATGGATTCAGCAATGTCCTTTTCTTTGGCCTTCGAGGTCCCATTAAGGAGCATCTGCCTACCGCAACAACTCACAGCGCGCATTTGGTCAATGATTTTATCTGTGGAGGTCTGTTGGGGGCCATGTTGGGAATCTTGTTTTTCCCAGTTAATGTTGTGAAAACTCGCATGCAGTCTCAGATTGGTGGGGAGTTTCAGTCTTTTCCCAAGGTTTTCCAGAAAATTTGGCTAGAGCGGGACAGGAAGCTGACGAATCTTTTTAGAGGTGCTCACCTGAATTACCATCGGTCCCTCATCTCTTGGGGCATAATCAATGCAACTTATGAGTTCTTGTTAAAGATTGTATGAAAGAAACCCTCAGTTAAGTGCCATTTATTAACTGAATAGACCTAAGAAGAATGCAGTTTGGCCTTGTTCCTAATTGGCGAAATACAAGTTGGTGTCAGAAGTTCAGGGCACAGTGAATTATGGGCAAAGCTGTTTTCTTGAAGCACCAACAAATTCAGAATAAAAGGTTCTAATAGGAAGATGAAAGGGGTTTTTGGTTTTGTTTTTTCATTATTATCTGAGAACTTTAGGCTAATTGCCTCGTTAATAGCTGTCTATTTGACTGCTTTTGACAAGGGAAACTAATAGCCAAGGTATGATTCTTTTTCCCAAAAGTCTTTAATAAATCTTCTGTATTGAAATGTCAGTGGCCATGACCAGCCAGAGAAAAGGCTCTTAGAGCTTCATGAATTCTCAGGCTTCCTTCTCTTGCTCCATTTCTTGCTTCTCTGCTTTTAGGAGTTGCAGAGGGTAGTCTTCGTTAAACAGAAGCATGTACATGTAGGACAAAGAATAGAGGAGCAGAACAGCTTATTAAGTGTAGGCTTTTTATGGTAAATTGCTTGTATTAGTTTTGAAACTAAGTACCTGTTGGGATAGTCATTATCTAGACTATTCAGGCATGGTGTGGCAGAACCAAGCAGCTAGTCAAAGCTCCCATTTTGCTATCTAGGTTGCAAGGTTTTGTGTTTAGTTCTGAATGTGATCTTAAACCCTCCCCAAATGTCCTTATGTTAATTTCACTTATTTCATTGCCAAAACATAGGGAGAGTTTTCATTGTAGGCATTTCTTCCTGTGAAATTTCATATTAATTGCAAACTGGTTAATTCAGTTTTTTTGATTAATTGTTGCCAACTTCAGGAAGAGCTTTGGGAGTTTGGGGAGTGTTTTTTCTTTGAGTCATAGTTTGTCGTATTGAAGTATCCTGTTTTCTTAAAACTCTCCTTAAAAAAAAAAAACACTTCCATAAAATTGTATTTTGGAAGTATATTAACAGGATTCTAGATTTCTCTCTCCTGGCTTCTAAGCATTACAGAAGGGGAAAAAACAAATCTCAGGATAGCTTTCATCCCAGTGTTAGCTTTTTTATTTGACTCTTGGAAATAGAGACCTCTATTAGGATTTTTACATTTTGGGAACCCAGTTTTATCATTATTAAAACAGTAAGAGAGTTTGAGATAAAGATATTTGGAGGATTAATTTTAAATGCTACTAGTTCGTAAAAGCTGGATAGCATACTCATCCCTTAGGTGACAGAAAAACTTACTTGTCAAAGGAATCAGATTCTTAAAATATTTTTTCCAGATCGATGAAGCAAAATGCCTCTCTTTACTGATTGAATGATTAATAAAACTTGAAACATCCTAGAAAAGTAGTTTATCAATCTTTTAAAAATCCACATCTGTAAGTATGTAGTTAAGATTGCCAACATCTGACATGGCAGAGTAGTTAGGTTTCTTATTACCAGTTTTTCATCATTCTGGGTAATTGCATATGACTATATGCACACACTGACCAAAATAAAATCAGGGTCTCAGTTGGTAGTTTACTCAGTTTCTGGGCAGATAGTCCAAAAGAAATGTTTACCTCTAAATGCAGTATGACTGGTCAAATAAGCATCCTTCCAACCATAAAAGATTGGGAAGATTTATCAAGCACTTGCCAGGCAGTAATGAGGCTCAGTAACTTTACAACAGCCCTGCTTGAAAATGTTGTGTTGGAAATGGCAGTTTACTTTGGAAACCAAGATGGAGAGGTGAGGATTTCAGAAAGAAAGGATTTGACACCAAATAAACGTGAGTAGCATCCTTTGGCTTATTGAATAGAGTCTGGCTTTGAAAAGGGTTGAGTTTTGGCGAAATGAATGACAAAGGCACTGTGGTCAGTGGCGGTGCTTGGCCCAGGGCCCACCACACCTTGCAGCAGGTGAGTTAGCCTGGGGTCATGCCCTGGGGATGGGCTTCCTTTTGTCTATTATACACTCCTGTGAGGTGACAGATAACCTAAGTTCTAAAGCACTTTCATGAAATACAAGTGAGAATTTGAAAGGGGATGCTTTGGTTTCTGCAATCTCAAACTTGTGGTGTTTAAAAACAAATATTTTTAATGTTTTTAACTCCTAATATATTTGGATTTCTTTGTCACTTTTTACAGCTTTTGGAGACCAAATTGTAAATACATGACCAGGGATGGTTTTTTGTTGTCCTATAGACTTCTTAAATTTGACAAAAAAATTCAACAGAACTTGCTTGTGGTAGTCAACAGCTTTGTCTGAACCTTAAAAGAAGTCAAAATGTGTTATTAATAAGAGATTCTAACCACTTGTTTTTATCTTCAGTGTGAACTAGTAATTTTGAAAAGGCAGACGTGATCGAATAACTATCTGAAGAGCTTTAAAAGTGGCCTTTCTGTTACATACGTGACACAGATGGTTTATGAGCACAGGGAGCTTCCGGCCCTGCCTCCCACACTTTATCTCTGATGCCACCAGAGATGTGTTACGGATTCTCTATTTAACACGCTTGGGGTGGTATGAACCCTCAGGACTGCATCACAGAGTAAACACAACCTTTCTGAGGTGGCAGATTTGTGTGTCTTTGTTTCATTTGTGTTTGGAGACAGTTGATGTTTTTGTCTCAGTAGTCAATATTCATCTTACCTTATGGTTGGTTATGTAATCACCTGCTATATATTGTAAACTGTGCAATAAAACAGAATTGTGTATCTAGAATCATCTTTGGAGACCTGAAATTTCCTAGCTCGATTATAGTGGTAATACTCCATTCTCATGCTCTGCAAACACAGAATCATGGGCGGCAGACAGGATGTGCAGAATGGGACCCAGAGGCCTTTGGGGCCACCGATCATGCCATGGGGGAAATGGCAGGTCAGTGCGGTTGAAGTTCTGGAGGGAGACGTGTGCGGTCCAAGTGAAGGCAAGACAGGAGATCACATGTGAAGGAAGGGTGAGCACTCAGACTTGATCTCCTTTAAATTAAAATATTCTTTGTTTTCTTGTATGTATAAATGCCTATCAAAGACTTAACAGGCGTTCTCCTTAAATTTGAAGAGTTTTCATTTTTAATGCTGTCTTTTTGTTTAATAAGTATTTGCTTGCCTAAATGGCTCCCAGATTGTGGGGGAGTCTACATGTTTTTGGGGTTTTTGGGTTTTTTTTAAGTTTCATTATTAAAAGTGGTTAAGCACATAAAGCTGTTTTTGTTTAATGTTTTTTGAGTTTTGTGACTGAGTTTAAATGAAACCTGTTAAATGTGTCATTAACATTCTTTTGCTAATTCTGTTTGGAATAAAGTTGGTTTTTTTTTTTTTTTTTTTAAGTCCATTCTATTTGGTCTTCTGTTGTGGTTGGGTTAGGGTTACTAGCACTTTTTTGTGGCTTAAGTTTGTCTTTTTTGTTGAGCAAACATTTAGCATACTACTATGACTCTTTAGCACCTTCACCTGATAACTTTGTAGGTAGAACAGTCTGCATTTATCCATCTTATTTGGTCAAGAGGAGTTCCAGATAAGTTAACTTTCTAGATAGCTTAACTGCAAAGCATTTTGTGTTTTAATGGTTTTTCTCAAATGAAGTGAACTTTTCCCTACTGAGTATAAACTTAGTATAATCAGTTTATCAATAAATTTCTGTGGTATAGCATACCTTCAGGTCATGTTTACCCCCAACCTAAATGATCTGGATGTTTGTGTTTTTTGAGTTTGTTTATATCTACTTTTAACTTCACAGCTATTCCTTTCTGTTAGGAGATTGAAATTATATTAGCTACACACTGTTGTTTCCACATGAAATTTTAAGGTGCTTCCTGTCTCAAGGGAGCGTTGAGGCGGTCTGATGAGGACCAGTAGGTAAGGGAGTGATTGCCATCATGCTTCTAAAACTCCAGTTTCGGGTTGGAATTCATCATAAAAGTGAATATCCTGAACTTCAGAATTGATGAAAGGGTGTCATACATGTGATCTGATGCGACGTCATTTTAGCCCCCTGCCGCAAGCTGTCCCACAGCTGTCGTAAAGCGCATGGTGCGGGGAGTGTGGGGGGTGTGTTTCTCCAGGTGTGACAGGGAGCAGGCCCGGGGAGCCCTGCAGAGCTGCGGGGTGCTCTGGATCTCGGAGGCGGGTGCCCAACTTCATCCATTTAGCTTCTGATGTTTCCAAGGGGAACTTTTTTTCCAGTGAGCATAGCTGATTTTGAAGTAGAAATTGAGGCTAAAATAGGATTTCTCTAAATTCTCTCCCTTTGATCCATTCTGTGTATCGCTGTAAGATTAATTCTGTAAACACCGATCTGGGCCCTGCTTAGTCACTGCCCTCAGCTGCGGGGACCTCCCCGCTCTCACTCTGCCTCCCG